CCTCTGAACAAATCTTGCCAAGAAAACCCCATGATAGGTTCGCCTTAGCGTTGCCATAAGTTGGAAATGACTTGAAGACACACAACACACACACACAAACTTTGAAATGTACAGTGGGCCCTTGGTATCCGCTACGGTTTGGTTCCAGGACCACCACCCCCATGGATACCCAAATCTGTGGATGCTCAAACCCCATTAAATACATAGTAAAATGGTGTTCCTTATGTAAAATGGCAAAAACAAGGCTTGCTTGTTGGAATTTTTGTACTTTTAAAATATTTTCAAGCCATGGATGCTTGAATCTGTGAATAACAAATCTGTAGATATGAAGGGGTGACTGTACCTTTATTAATGAAACTAAACACAGAATGTGCAATAATGAATGTACATGATGGTGGTGGTGGGGGTGTCTGCTTTCAAGTCATTTCTGACTTGTGGCAACCCTAAGGTTCAGAGGGGGCTTGACAATACCTTTCCATAGAGGCTGAGAGAGAGTGACTGCCTAAGACAGCCCAGTGGGTTTCCATGCCCGAGTGAAGATTCGAACCCTGGTCTCCAGAGTCTTAGTCCAATGCTCCAACCAATACTCCAATGCTACACCATGCTGGGCGGGGAGGGACCACAGACACCTGTTCTGTGACAATTTCATAGGAGACCTTGTCCTACAGATGTGGGGTTGCCTGTACAGACTTTAGGATATATCTCTGGAGCACTGTTCCACCTTCAGCTTCCTGTGGGGCTCACCACATCAAAAGCCCCTCTGATCTCCTTTCTGTGTTCCCCTATTTCTTCTTTCTCTCTCTCTCTCTGCCTCCTCTCTTTTCTCACTTTGCCCCTGGCAGCTTTTTCTATAGTTCCTTTGTAGGTTTTTTAGTGTGCAGATACATTATTCGCTTCCGCTGCTCCAAGAGTGGCAAAGTTGCCAGTTCCCGGCACGCACATACACAACACGCACACGCTTGCTCAGCCCCAAACCCCAATAATACACACACAGGCACACAATAAAAACCCACACCAGGGATGCACTAATGCTCTGGTGGTGTGATGGTGGCACCCCCAAGTGGACAATGTGGGGCTTCGCACCCACTCCAAAAACTTTACAGAGTGGATGGAGAGTGTTGTGTAATCAATGTGACAGCGGAGCGATTGAAACAGAGAAATGCTTTCTGCTTCAATGTCCAAAATACAATGGAGCACATCAAAAAGAGTCCGCACAAGCAGTTGCAGATGGTGTGATGTCTCACCAGAAAGCAATGGAGGAGAAAACTGTCTCTGATTCTGGCAGAAAGAAAAGGGAGAAGAAGCCTCTCTCAAGTGCTCCTAATCTGAGTTTAATCTTTTAAGCCATTCCTGTTTGTTATCCTTCCATTGTTCCTGGTTTCTAGTCTTTGGCTCTGGGTGACCTGTAACAGGATACAATGGCACCCATGGTCAATGACATCCATGTTCATCAGACAAATATAACATTTCCAAACCCTGTACAAGCTATCCTAGCCATTTTCTCTGAAGATGCCAGCCACAGATGCTGGTGAAACATCAGAAAGAAACTCTTCTAGAACATGGCCACACAGCCCGAAAAACCCACAAAAACTATGGATGCCGGCCATGAAAGCCTACGACTTCACATATCCTAGCCATTTTCAAGAGTGTCTTGTTGCTGCCACTGTCACTGTTGTTATTAGGAGGGTTGGCCTAAGACTTGTCAACTTGGAAAGCTGACAAGCCAAATGCCTCTCCCCAACCTCCCCTCAGTTTTTTTTTAAATTAATAATAATAATAATAATAAATTTTATTTTTACCCTGCCTTTCCAAAATAGATCAAAGCGGCTTACAGAAAATTAAAAAGATTAATACAATTTAAAGATTAAAAGCCGGTCCAAGGAAGAGAACAGGAATCAACAAAATCACAAAATATCAGGGAGGAATCAGCAAAATCTCAAAATATCAGAGAGGAATAAAAACAATCCAGGATCAACAGAATGGTACATGGAGAAAAGATACCGTTACTAAGATGGAAAAGCCAGTCGAAATAAATACGTTTTTAGATTTTTCCTAAAAGAGGCTAAAGAAGCAGAGGAGTGGAGCTCTACAGGAAGCTTATTCCAGGAAAAGGGGGCAACGATGGAAAAAGCCCTCTGTGAGTGTCTTATAATGATGCCCCAAGGAAGCCCTTGTTCTCTACCTCATGGCAGGAATGTGGTTATGGTGAAAGCAAATGAGGATATATCTCCTTTCCAGATAGGAATTCTGCTCCTCCAAATGAAATTTCTCTGCAATCCAGAATTTCTAGCATTGCAATAACAAGTTGAGCATTTAGAAATGCAGTTTAGGCATTCGGAGAAAAGGGGCAGGCAACGATACCGACCAATGAGATTCTAGGCTGCATCAATAAAAGTATGTCTAGAATAAGAGAAGTACCGTAATAGAGCCACTCTATTCTGCTTTGGTCAGGCTTCACCTGGAATACTGTGTTCAGTTCTGGGCCCCACAATTCAAAAAGGATGTTGACAAGCTGGAGTGTGTCCAGAGGAGGGTGACAAAATGGCAAAAGGTCTGGAAACCATGCCTTATGAGGAGAGACTTAGGGAGTTGGATATGTTTTGCCTGGAGAAGAGAAGGTTAAGAGGTAATATGATACCCCTGTTTAAGTACTTGAAGGGGTGTCATATTGAGGATGGAGCAATGGATTCAAACTACAAGACAAGAGATTCCAGCTCAACATTAGGAAGAACTTCCTGACAGTAAGAGCTGTTCAACAGTGGAATAGTGGTGGAGTCTCCTTCTTTGGAGGTCTTTAAACAGAGTCTGGATGGCCATTGATGGGGTGCTTTGATTGTGAGTTCCTGCATGGCAGAATGGGCCCTTGGGGTCTCTTACAACTCTAGGATTCTGTGATTCTGTGAATGCAAACCCAGCAAATAGAAGAGCTCTAGGCGTGAACAATTTTCAGTGTCTCAGGCTCTGTAATGCTAGAAATCTGGGGTCTGCATGAAAATTTAATCTGGGTGGGCAAAACCCTCATCCTCCCTGCTACACCCTGCACCGAGAGGTTAAAACATTCCTACCTTTCTTCTTATCCCAATCTTCCTCTCACACACATACATATACACAGACAGCAATACCATTGAAACCTTCCTGGTTATCTACAAAAGGGTGTTAACCAACCTATCCATCCCAGCCTCTCTGCCCATCTCTTCTCTCTTCTTACATTCTCCCAGTTCCTCCCACCCAGTAATTATTGTTGTATTTATTCACCATCAATATACATGGCACTTTACATTTAGGTTGCCAGATTGACAACTGGCAAGAGCTCCTGTAGCTTTAATGGCTGTGTAGAAGAGAGAATTTCAGCAGGTATTGCTTGTTAGGCTAACCAGGTAACAAACAAGCAACGCATGCTGAAATTCCCTACCTAATGATTACAGGAGTCCCTTCCAGTTTTATTTAAGCAGCCTTAATTTACAGAATAAATTTCAAATGAGTACATTTATACACTAACGTACCTGGATAGCTTGGGGGGATTTTATTTCCTTTTCTCAGTAATGACAAGACAAGAAAAGAAAAGAAACAGCTGATTTTTGAAAAGCTGATTATCTTCCCCTTTTCTTTCACTTAAAGAAAACACAGTTCATTTGTTAAAGTGCTCCCTTTCATTTCATGCTCAGAAATTCTCTGAATTTCTCCTTATCTGTGACAGGAGCAGGAGTCTTGTGAGAAAAAATGGGTTGGAAGGGGTATCAGTGTTCTTAAGGGAAACTTCTATTTTCCACAGAATCTGGTTCTTTTGGCTCCCATTATGTAACTCTGACATACCTGTATGTGTGTGTATGTGTCATTAAGTTACCTATCACTTATAGTGACTCCATGAATTTCATAGGGTTTTCGTAGGCAATGAATACTCAGAGGCTGACTTGCCTAAGAAGAGGTGAATGCTCAACTCTTGACCCAGAACAAACAAATCTGGTTTATTTCATATCAAGAGCCAACAGGGTGTAGTGGTTTGAACACTGGACTATAACTCTGGAGATCAGGATTCGAATCCCTGTTTGCTCATGGAAACTTACTGGGTAAGTCACACTTTCTTAGGCCCAGAGGAAGGCAAAGGCAAATCCCCTCTGAACAAATCTTGCCAAGAAAACCCCATGATAGGGTTGCCTTAGGGTCATAAATCAGAAACAACTTGAAGGCACATAACAACAACAATGCATATACATTATACACTGTGTTTTCTAACTGACAAGGCTCTCCTTGAAGTTTGTGCCATATAAAGAATCACTAAACGCCCACCAAAAGTCAATAAAATAAAACAAAGTAGTACAGCCATAAAAATGGACATCATGGGGGGGGGGGGGAAGGTAATATCTAGAATGAATTAGTATCTCAGCAGCCCAGTCATGGCAAAAGTCTCTTCTTACCAGATCTTGCCCCGCTGTCCCTTTGGATAACATCTTCAGTGCCATTCCAAAGGGGTCAACAGAGCTGGATCTGGTAACTTTCCCTCTGGGGGGAATTTTATAAAAGTGGAGTCTCACCTCAGCTCATCCCAACCCAACCCACACAGCCCTGTTTTTAGTACAAGTTAAATTTTCCTGCAGTGTTGGTGGCACCCAAAATAATGTTTCATGCCCCAGTTTTGAATCTTTTTCTGTGTGCGAGAGAGAGGTTATTCCATTTGCAATGGCCAGTGTTAAATCAAAGTGTGCATTGATAAATTAAGGAGAGGGATTTTGCTGCCAAAATGTAGAACCCATACATTTTTAGCTCATAATATTGGAATTATCAGCTCATAATTTGAAAGACGGGAATAAATCATTGCTTTGTTGTGAAGACAAAGAAAACGTGGTTATTGCTATGTATGCAAAGGAGGAAGAGGTGTTTAAGTCATTGATATTCAGATCTCTGTACAAATTTTTTAAAAATCCTGTGGTTGCTATAGCAGGCTGTGTGTGAAGAACTTGAGGTCCTCCAAGCTGACTATACTGGCAAGGACTGATTGGAGTTGCAGTCCAAATGCATCTAGAGCAGTGGTTCCCAAACTTTGGTTCCCAAACTGGCTTCAGTTTCCAGAAGCCCCAGTCAGCATAGCCAACAGTAAGGAATTCTGGGAGCTGAAGTCCAAAACTTCTGGAGGACCAAAGTTTGGGAACCACTGATCTAGAGGAACACATATTCTGTTAACCATAACCAGCTTCTCAAAATCAATGGAACCACTTGGATGCAACAATCATGTCCCATTTACCCTGCTCCCATGTGGCTTAATTTCTCCCATATAGGGCCTTTGCAGACTGCCAGAAATAGTGCACATTAAAATTGAGGCACTGCCCTGGCTCAGTGCTAGGGAATAATGGGAACTGTAGTTTATTGTGGCACCAGAGCTCTCTGACAGAGAAGGCTCAATGTCCCAGAAAAAAATACTGTTCCCATGATTCCCTAGCACTGAGCCAGGGCAGTGCCTCAATTTAATGTGCACTATTTCTGGCAGTCTGCAAAGGTTGTCTTGTAGAGCTTAGAAAAAGTACTTCTTTGGATTACAACTCCCAGAATCCCCCAGCCAACACGGCCACAGCAAGACATAAGAGCTGTCCTTTTTCGGGGTTCACTTCCCTCCAAGTCACTAGATTAGTCTTCCCCAACCAGGTGCCTTCCTAACATGTTGACTAAAGATGATGAGAGTTGTAGTCCAAAGCATCTGGAGGACACCCAGTTGGTTAGGACATGCCTTATGGGATCCCAGAGCAGTCTGTTACACAAAAATTCAGTTTTCTAACATAGACAAGCAGTGATTCCCCAAAAGCTGTTGCAGTACAATTCCAGTCATCGCCAACCATTCACTATGGTGAGGCTGATGGGAGATAGTCCAATAATCCCTGAAGGGTCATAAGTTCTTCACTCCTGCCTTGAATACAATTACAAGAGAGAAAGTCCCATCAATTATTGTACTTTGCTATATGGCCATCGTGGCTACTCCTGGATATGTTTACAGGGATACCTCAGTTAACAAAGTACGGTATCTGACAAAGAAGCTCCTTTTTAGAAAGTCTGTTTCTCTTCATCCTCCGACTAGCTGGCTTTTTTTAGCAACATCAATGTTGGAAGGATGATGAAGATGAAGAAGGGGTAGAGAAACAGAGAATCTGGGTGCTGGTTTGCAGCAGTATCTCTGCAGTAAACAACGCAATAAAGCCTCAAATAGATGAAAATATAATTCTAATTTAGCAATTCTACTGTAGACATGTGTACCTGCCTACAACAGACAAGGTAAATAGTAGCTGCCCCAAGGACTCATTACCTAGCATACATGAAGAGCAGAACAAAGAGTAAAGGGGAAAATAGATAAATCTATATCATCATTTACTACTAGTACCTTTAAAAAATTACACATATCTATAAGTTTGATTACTAAAATAGAAATCATAAGGATGGTGTGGGCTAGTGAAGGGAAAAACATCATCCCTAGATGCATTTTGGAAGAAGCTTTCAAGCAGTATCCAGAAGGTTTGCAATGATTTTGTTTAGTTATGCAAGGCTTACTTGACCTTGTTGTTTAATTTCACATGTGCATATTGCTAGTTATGGATAAAAAGCTTGCTGAAATAGGTTGAACTGCTCTTTTTTGAGGTGTAAGAACCCCTCTCCCCCCCCCCATGTTATTTCTGCCTCTTGTACCAAATTTTCTGTTAAAGAAGTAATGCCTAGGAAAACATCTACTTCATTAATTGAGGTATATCTGTATTTTTAAAAAAGACTGTGTGTGTGTGTGTGTGTGTGTGTGTGTGTGTGTGTGTTTGTTAGGAACTTTAACTTATTTTTATCTATTAAATTTTACAAGGTACACAATCCAGCTAAAATAAGCCGTGATTGAAGCTGAAGTTATACATTCACTTTCTAGGGCAAGAGTAGGAACATATGACCCCTCCCCTCAGATGATGTTGGACTGCGGCTCCCAGCATTCCCAGCCAGCATAGCCAATGATAAGGCAAGGTGTAAATTGCAGTCCAACAAAATCTCACGGGTAGCATGAACCCACTCATTTCAGAGAGTAACATATCGAGGTCAGTGGGACTTTACATTGTACTTCCAAAACAGTTCGTGCAGAAATAAGCCCAGGGAAGATGTGCAAAATGAGGGCATTGCCCCTCCAAATGAAAATTCTGCCCTGCTAAATGAAATTTTCTTTCAATCCCCAAATTTTAGCAATACAGAATGTGACAATGAAAATAATTCACATCTAGAACTGTTTATTTACTGTATTCACATTCCCTTAGCAAGTTTGCCACTGCTTTTATTAGGATGCTTAAACTTCATTTCTCAGTTGAAGAAACTGCAATGCTAGATATTTGGGAGACAAAATTCTTATTGGGGAAGCAATGGCTTCTTTCCTCTCTGTGGTTACAACCCTGAATAAACCTCATAAAACCAATGGAAGACGTGACTAAAAGTAACTTCAGAGTTTCCGCCGTCTTTATTGAGCTTTGTAATACAATTCTGCTACTCAGAAATAAGGCTCATTGGGCTCAGTTGGGCTTACTCTCAGGAAAACATGCATAGGGCTCATGTCTGAGTCATGGTTGTCTATTTTAGCTGGATAAGACCTGTTGTCTATAGTACTGAGTGCACTTGGTGAAAAGACAATCTTGTTGAGCCCAGTGGGACATACTGCTAAGTAAACATGCATGATAGAATTGGGCTGTGAGCATACCCCAGGGAATCTGACAAAGTTGATAAAAGTGCTCTAGATCCTCTTCTTCCATCATGTCTCCTGGGCTTCTTATTTCGCAGGTTAGTTATGGTGTTTGTTTTCCTCCTGCTTTATTAATTTCAACATGTTTACTGAGAGAATCATTCTATATTGGTTTTTAGTGTATTATTTCCACTTTGGGAATACACCCTCCTTTAATGCTGTTGGCTGTTCAGACTATTTTATCATGTATTGTTGTACTCCTGTCGTAATAGAAAGTTTATTATAAAAGACTGATGTTAAAAAGGAAGGAAGATCATAAAGTCATAGAGCTACTATCCATGCTTGATGGAGGTTTCTGGAAGTTATATTGCAAAATGTAAAGCACTTTCTACACCAAGGCTGTGAAGCCTCTAGCGCTCAAGCTGTACTGAACTCCAGTTCCCATCATGCCTGTCAATGTTGAGACATAATGGGAGTTTTAGTTCAACAATTTGGAGGGCCAAAGGTTTCCCCACCTGTGTCCAATATTAAGGCTCCAAATCCCACACACTTTACATATGAGTTACATCTTGTTCATTTCTATCAATTTTTAAGTACATAATGCATTTAAAACAGTGGGTAAAAACACTGGATAAATTATTAACTAGAAAAGCAAAAGTTCAAAAACTGGATCTTTAGCCTCCTTATTTCCTTTCTTATTCTTATCAAATGATGAACCAATATCAACCTAGGTTCTTCCTGTGCCTTTAAGTGCAGTTTGACTTGCAAAAATCAAACAATGATACTACTGTTTCTATCAAAGATTTACCATTCAGCCAGGAAACTCACTTTTCCTCACATCCTCACTTTTACACCCACATTCCCTCAGCCTCATGACCCTGTCTCACAGGATCTTTATGAAAATAACATGGAGGACAAGGTATATATACTTTTCTAAGCTCTTCAGAAGAAGGGTGGGATACAAATGTAATGAATAAGTCAATATGGAGATAAGTATAGATTGTGTGCTAACACCTGCTGATGCAGGAAAAGGAACAAGAGGAGATGAAGAAGTTGGGAACCCTCCTCTGACTTACAGATTAGCTTTGCCTTTCTGCTTACTTCCCTAACAGTAAATAAGGGCTTGCACATCCAAATCCTATGTGACATGTTGTTGTTATTGGTGGTGGTGGTAGTTGTATTGCTGACTCTGACTTATGACAACCCTCTCACAGGGTTTTCTTGGAAGAACTTGTTATTCAGAGGAGGTTTGCCTTCTTCTGAAGCTGAGAGAGTGTGACTTGCTCAAGGTCACCCAGTGGGTTTCCATGGCAGAGTGGGGATTCAAACTTTGGTCTCCTGGAGTCCTAGTCCAACAGTCTAAACACTAGAT